ACTTATCCATAAAGCATTGCAGAGTGATTGTGGTGGTCAGCAACGATAATAACAGTAACAATGGCAATGAGAAGATTGATCACGATGATAACAGTAGTGATCTTATCGTGTTCTTATCATCAACAAATCGAGTCGATACGAGAAAGCGAATCAAACCTTCGACAAGAGTATAAAGTGTCGGATAAACACCGGCCGATGGTCGATGTGCACTCGACGATTGCATCACATAATAAGGATGATGATGGAATTCGCTGATGAGCAATGTGCACAAGAACGCCCAAAAAAAAAATCCAGCTTTTCACTAGTCAACAATGTGCTGCGCTAATGAGCCAGCAGAAATATACACCTTAGTTCAGTGATGATGGATGATAGACAAATAGATAAATATTGTTCAGCTAAGCGGATTATTGCACTGATAATCTTATTTGACGTTCCAAATGGATTTCTTCGATTGAACTTATTTGACGGATGATGAAACGAATATTGTGTTGTGTTAAGCATTAAAATGAAATATAACGAGTACACTGCACACAGCCGTGTAAGCTGAACTGATTCAACTATTATATTTTGTATTGTTCAGTGGCAGATTGTAATTTCAGTTGAGCTCAAATAGTCCAGATCAATGTTGTATAGTACAGAGATCTTGTTTTAAGTATATCCGATGGATGGAATCGAAGCCAATACATCGCAGCTCATCATCACAATCTTCATCGATTTAAATCAGCTGAACGAATGAATGCCAAGTAATAAAACGTGAAATAATGAATAAAACTTTTTCTTGGATCTCAAAAATGCAAATGAATCGGCCTCACTGAATCATATCATCCTCACTGATCAATAGTTCTCCTCATTCAATGTAAATTTTGAGATAGAAATAATTTCCTTTTTCAACTAATCGTTTTCTCTTTCGATCTCCTCACGCGGCTGGCTATCGCGATGTGTGGTACTAATTCGTTACTCTCTCTATTCATTCAACGAATATCATACCAAATAAATCCTGTCTGTACACATTACAATCACATTATATGAATATTTTATTCACAATGTTCTGTGATAATTCATGGGCATTAAAAACCATCGAATGTGGCGGTATTCCATGGATTGAAAAATTCATGGTTACCAAATGACTGTTTGTTTGTATTAAAATGCATTGTTTGCATGTGAGCAACATGTGCATGTGCTATGCTACTTGGACTTGTGGCATCCACTGCCTAATTTGAATTCATAATCGATTCCAATGGTGAATTGACAACAGATTCTGATGGCATTACAAAGAAATAAAGATGATCGGTTCTTATGGTATTATGAAGCAATAAACTTTGATTGTAATGACGATAAACTAATAATAAATTCCGACCATATTATTATCAATTTATAATGATGAATAATCCTGATCGTACTATAGTGGTCAGTTCTGCGCGTATTACAAAACAACTGATTCTGATGGTAATGATCCAATTCGTAGAAGTTTCGTTAGATACAGATATATGAGGCTTACAGATGAGAATTACGATAATTTTCGTGAGGAACTGATAACAATTGAACGTATATTGACGACATATGCGAACACTGCTTGTTGCTGCAAAAAATAATAGCAATTTTAAGAACCTGCACCGCCTTGACGAATAATATTATACGCTAAAGCACAAACAAGGCATAAGCAGCAATCACTGACTGATATTTCGTTTACCAACAGCGATTCTCAACAAAAAAAAAACGTTCCGTCAACACAGATGCATGGCATCGGTTGTTCACTAAGGAATCATTACAGCTGCTGGAAGCTTCGACGGTTGCACGCAATGTGCGAAGGTTAAGAAAAAGTGAGAATTCGGTGTAGAAGGTCCAAAAAACCTGCACCATAACATAGTGAATTAGAAAGAAACAACCATAGTGAGAAGAAAATATTACAAGAATAATAAACAGATATCAAACATCGTAGAAGGCAAACCAACTGAAACTAAGTGTGAACAAATCGTTCAAAATAAACAAACAATGAAAATCAAAAAGAAGACTTCACATATTCTCCATAAAAATAAACGAAAACCCAACAAAAAAACGAAAGAAAAGTGAGAATACGAGTGAAAAA